TTTCGCATGTACACTTTTGACTGTCGGTCCCATGCTTGGGGAATAAATTAATACACTATTCCCATGGCTGGATCCATTTACTGTCTCCGCTGCTCAATGCCCTGTAGGTGCGCGGTCGTTATGGTGGAATCATTTTAAGACGGTTATGATTAATCGTCTTCGTGGCTACCAGTGTAGTCGTTTATCTGGTTTTACTGCACATCAATCGTCTTTTGGTGAATTTAATTTTTCCTACTTGCACCCATTATCCTTTATATATGAAATGTATTCACTCTATTTCGCTTAAGGTGATAAGGGGAGTGGTCGGTGAATTTTTTCCCACAATTATATGAGTAGACCTTACACCTTCATTGAATTTCACATAGCCTTGCTTTCTCATCTCGACTGAAGTGGACTACAGTTTCGACCTCGTCTGAGCTGGTCTCATCAGCACCCCAGCGAGACTCGAACCATGACAGTGCAGCGTATAATCTCGACACTTTAACCACTACGTCACATTGTCACGAGCACCCTTGGGTCATAGGGCAGATGTGAATTTCAAGGAAGTCCAGGCATTTTCCCATATCACATTTTGTGGAGGGACTTCCGATAAGGCAAACTTGTATTTGCTTTAGCAAATACATATTATCCTATTGCTCAATCAGTATCCTTCATCCCAACGTCTTCATTTCTACGATCTTTTAGTAGTTGTTTGACCTTGTATTTGCAACCTTGTCATATTGACAGTAGATTTAGAGGAACAGCAACTTCAGCAAAAAGGAGATGACTACATCAAGGTAATATTTGCAATTTGAGGAAAAGCCATTACGAGTAGAATAAAAAGGATAAATCGGAGACCAAGTGGATACGTCTACAATGAGCCTAGTCCAGTCAACCTGAGCTATCACATTTGGGGGTCGGCCAGAAGAGACTATGGCAAAAAACGTCATAGACTTGGCATTTTGGATAGAAGAACGAGACATGTGGCGGAGCTCATCGAAAGTTGTCTATTAATAGTTAAGCTTGATCATGGACGTGGCCCATGACGTAAAGTAATGACCATGCGATTCATATGGGGCGCATACAGGACATTGATAAAGCAATTTGTAAGTCAGATTAGGTTTCCATACCAATTAACAAACCAGAATTTGTGGGCCTGCTCAGTGGGATTTGCGCGTACGTGCTATCAAAGGCTGGAAGCAGAGGGTAGAACATAACGCCAGGAGTATCGCGGATAGGGTGGCAGTGCTCGAGTGAAATCTCTGGACCAAGCAGATAAGAGATGGATCCCACGGAGACGGATAGGCGATGGTGGAAGAAGATGTGAAGAACAAATCCGCTCAAAAGAATATAACTGGACTATGTTGAAATAAGCAATAAATGGTGATATTGTAGGCGTGATCGAAGATATAAGATGGGTGAATACTCCAAAAGAGAAGATGAGATACCACAACTGTTTAGCATACATATTGTGGCATGACTCTCCATTTCGAAGGGAAAGTTGGTAAGAAGGAATTCGTGATGTGGTTTCACCAGAAACCGAAGGAGGATTGTCGCGTAGGGAAGACTGTTGGAATGTGTCCCGCGATTCTGCTGAAACTGTGCCAAGCTTGCGTCTGTACTGTGACAGACATCATCAGAGCAGCAATCTACACTCGAGTCTAGCTACTACCATCACATCACGCATGGGACAAACCCAAATATGGTTCAACATTCGAGGATCGTACACTAGTTTATTTGTGTAAGGGAACTGATGCCACCGAATTCGCTTTCGGTTCGTGGAATGTCTCATTAAGATCGCGAAGTTTTGTGTACAAAAAAGCGACTAGGGTAGCAGCTGGCCACCTTTTCATTCTGTTTAGTATCTTTTTTTCATATATAAATAGAGGTTCGAGACCACCGATAAATCGGTAATATGATATGTTTTCACCCTGTTTCGTTAAACGTGATCAAGGGCTGGTAGAAGGAGAAATTTTTTCCACAATGAGTAGAGCTGACGTTTCCATTCAATTTCACATAGCCTTGTTCCCCACAAAAGTTGTTCTCATCCAGGTTGGACTGCAGTTTCGACCTCGCATAGGTCTTATCAGAACTCCCAGCGAGTTCGATACGTGACTGTGCATCATGTGAGCCTGAAACGTAACCATTCGACCACATTGCCACGAACGCCCTTGGGTCACAGGGCGGGTATGAATTCCAAGGAAGGCCAGGCCTTTTTCTATATCACATTCTTTGGTGGGATTGTTGTTGAAGCAAGCGTATTTTTGCTATAACAATGCACTATGTTAATTATTTTTCGTACGTAAATAGAGTTTCAAACTACCAGTAAATCAGTTATATGAGATCTATTCATGGTATTTCTTTAAGGTGTTGAAGGACTGGTAGTAGACTGTTCCCACAGTCGAAAGCTGACGTTTCGATTGAATGTAACATTGCCTTGCCTTGCCAAAACTTGTTCTCACATCTGCCCTGCGATCCAAGGGCACTGGTGGCAATGTGGCTCACGTCAGGGTTCGACTCCCGCTGGGAGTGCTGATAAGACCCCTGCGAGAACAAGTTTTAGTCGAGCAAGGCTGTGTGAAATGCAATGGGGAACGAAATAGGGTGAATAAATCTCATAGCATATTTCTGCTCTATTTCGTGAAGTATGGATTCCTGCTCTGGTGATGTCTGTCACAGTACAGACGAAAGCTTAGCACAGTTTTGGGGGTCGCAGGACTGTGTGCCGAGGACTAATTTGCACATTTCAACAGTCTTCCCTACGCGGCAATCCTCCTTCGAGTTCCGGTGAGACCACATTATGAATTCTTTCCTACCACCTTTCCCTTAGTAATGTCACATTATATCACTAGGCAATTATTCGAAACCCACTTTTTCTTCATATATTTGTTTTCAGACACTTTGTCAAACGTTCGATTACGATATGAAGAGAAGCTGGATTTCTAAGACTCCCTCTGTAGATTGATACTGGCATACCTTTCATTTCTTTTGAGCAGGCGGATGGAAGGGATTCGTATATTGGCCTCAGCGGATACCGAAGGAGGGTTGCCTTGGACTCTTGTCTATTGAATTGTGCGAAGAATACTTCGGCTAATCGTCCTACGACCCCGATGAATCCGTGCTGAGCTTTCGTCCATCATGCGATGGACATCGTCAGAAACCATTATTCACGAGCAGTCAATAAGAAACCTTAACCAAGAAAGGTGGCCAGCTGAGATCATAATTACTTCTTATAGCTCACTTTACACTCTTAATGAGGCATTCCATGATTTGCTTGTCCTACATACATGTAAGCGAGTGCTAGTGATGCAGGATGTAAACTAACTAGTGTATGATCCAGTTGTTCTGGGTCTTATTACAGCTTCGTGGATGCAAAAACCCCGAATTTGTTGACAATTTTATGTTCAAAAACAAGCTTGAGTTTATTCTATTCTCTTTTTGTTCCCTTTCATTTTATTCATTTTTTTATTTTACTTTCCCGCAATTAACCCTATTTCTTCCTGTTTTCCTCAATGGCTTCCCTCTTCTGACGATCAACGCAACAACTCGTACAGTCGATTAGTCTTTCTGAGGTCTGCCGATTTGTTTACTTTGGCGGTATTGAGGCCTCGCTTAGAAAGCAGGTGAGTTGGTGTGCCCGAGTCTATTTATACCTTATCGCCTCTAATCAGAATGTTTTTGTATGACGATATCACTCTCCTCTAGCCAGCATTGACTCCGACATGGTCATTTCACTGACCGAGCAAACACTATGGCACCGATTGACATGTTTGCTCCGACTGGGTCGTTTGTAAAGCCAGTCAGGCTTAGTGATATTAGCTACGATAGGCTTTATTGTTTCACCTATCTTGGGATAGGTTTTGCTCCTTCATATGCTCAGATTAGATTCCGAGGTGGACATATCTTTCAAAAGAAGTACAGAGAAATCCTGTCTAGTAGAGGCGTTAGAATAGGAGTGTCTCGATTTTCAGAACGACATTTTATGCCGAAACTAGCCAAAATCTGCTTTTGTAATATAACACTCATCTTCTATATCATGGAAGGTTGTAGAGTCTTTGAACTTGAACAGGACGGCATACCAGAGGCCAGGCTAAGATGGCCTCGAATTCAATTGGTGAAAATTATGTTGAGTAGTGGCTTGACTTTGACTGATCTGGTATACCTTTGCGGTGTGGTCAGACCCTCGAGATTGTATTTCCATGATTCTGGTCGTCGACACTCTGGAAGTATCAGTGCGAAAGTGGTTTAAGCACGCTTTAACCACCGCGCCTTCTAATCCGTCACCGAC